TGGGAATTTATTATTTGTGGAAATAATATTTATTGGAGAAATAACAACTTATGAAATATATCACAAAGTATGATTATTTGTAAGTTATATTTATATCTTAACAAACTAGTTCAATTTATATAAAAGATAGTTTTATATAAAATAAGCTAGTTACAATTTATATAAAAGATAGTTTTATATAAAAATAATATATTTATATATGACTAGTTATATAAATATACATACGTTGGTAATTCTTTATAAAAATGATTGATTTTTATAAAGATAACATGTATGTGTATATAAACTAGCTATGAGACAACTTTTGTCTTCTTTTGTGCATGCTTTTCTCGAAAATTATGAAGGAGACCAAGCATGGTCTTCTTTTTGCCATGCTTGGGATAAAGTTGTCTCTCCTTTTACTTTATTGTCCCCCTTACACTTTATGGCCATTATATAAGGAAGGTCTTGGAAGGCTTTTGAGATAAGTTCTTGCATCTTCTTCTTCTTCCTTTTGACTATGAAACCGTGGGCATGAGGAGCTTTAAGAGGGCTGCCAATTTCGAGCTTTACAAGCTCTTTTTCTCCTCCATTCTCTTGCATTTTGATGCTAGACAAAGCCCCTTTGTTGCTTCACCTTTGAACATATATTTGGTATATATTTCAAAGGCTTATAAACAACAAATTACAATGGAATACTAGCATGTTTTGATGGTTCTACTCTTGCTTGGTGGATACTTGTAGAGAACTATTGTTTTAGAGTTTCATGCCACACTTCATCAACTTCCAACCTCCCATGAGGATCAAAGTCTTCAAAGGTTGTTATGCTTTCCCTTTTATGGTTGTTTTAATCTTTCTAACTCTTGCAAAATGATCCTTGGTGGGTAAAACAATTTTAGTTTTATTCAACCTTTTAAAGCTTCCATTGTCAATTTTACCGGTTGTGAAACCAGATTTTTGAATAAAAACCCAACAAAATACCCCTAGGTCAAACCCTAGTCAAAATCCGGGTCAAATTCAATCGAGTCAACCGGGTTGACTCAGTCAGTACGTGGGGTGTACTCCTTATGTACGTGGGGCGTACTTCGCAGTTGATCGAGGATCGGGGAGCTGATCTCGCACGCGCAACATACCCCTCGGTACACCCAGCGTATGCGACTGATCACCACCCCTCTTATTAAGTGCTTAATCATTTAAGCACTTACGTCTAAATTTCAGATCTAGGCAATAAGAGATGTTCTTAACCATAAGTTTTCCAACTTTATGGTTTAGCGTGGCTATTAAGACCCTAGCTCCAACAACCCTAGTCTCTTAACCCATTAAGACAATCTAGCACTTGCATGGAGATAAACTAATGATCAAAAACCCAACTTTATGACTTAACACCTCTTAAAACCTCTAAAAGGACAACTCAAATGCCTTGGAGTACCTTCTACTCACAAGGACCAAGTTTGGGACAAAAAAGGAACAACTTTGAGCTAAAACTAGATCCATAAGATTTCTACACCAAGGTTGAAGCTTTTTACCTCCACAAGGTGCACAAGGGGGACAAGATGATGGATCCAAAGCCTTGAGTGAAACACCACAACCCCATTTCTCTTCCTTCTACTCCAAAAGCTCCAAATGGCACCAAAAATGGCTCTACAAGCTTCACAATGCACCAACACTCTTTAGGGTTTCGAAATGAGGAAGGAGGCTAAAGATAAGAAAGTGCATGTGGCCATAAATGTGTTTAAATAGGGTCCAAACCCTAAAATTTAGGGTTTGCCCCCTGGTTGCGTACGCCCTGCGTACCAGCGTACGCGCAACGTACTAATGCGAATCTGGGTACGCCCTGCGTACGAAGGTGTACGCCCCGCGTACCCAATATAACTCTGAATAAAGTACAACTCAAGGGTTAAAATGAATACCTGAATAATAGATGTTACAACTCTCTCCGATCTGAACTAGACTTTATCCTCGAAGTCTGCTGCAGCGAATAAATCTAGGCAGTGCTCTCGCATCTCTACCTCAGGCTCCCACGTCCATTCGGAGCCCTTCCGATGTTGCCACTGGACCTTGACCAGTGACACTTCTTTGTTGTGCAGAGCCTTCGTCTTCCGATCTAAGATCGCCACCGGTCTCTCCACATAATTCAAACGATCATCAACCTGAATATCATCTAGAGGAACAACTGCAGACTCATTAGCCACACATTTCCGAAGCTGAGACACATGGAAGGTGTTCTGGATCTGGCTGATCTCATCGGGAAAATCTAGCCGATATGCAACCTTGCCCACCCGGGCCGTAATCCTGAAAGGTCCAATGAATCTGGGGCACAGCTTGCCCTGCTTCCAAAATCAGATGACACCTTTCCAAGGTGACACCTTCAGAAGCACTAAGTCTCTCACCTGAAACTCGAGATCCGAACGTCGCTGATCTATATAACTCTTTTGTCGGCTTTGCGCGACCCGCAACCTGTCGTGCACCTGCTGAATCAACTCAGTAGTCTTGAGTACAACCTCTGTACTACCCATGACTCGATGCACGACCTTTTCCCCAACAAACTGGGGTCCTGCACCTTCTTCCATACAACATCTCAAATGGTGGTCGGTCAATACTAGCATGGTAACTATTGTCGTCGGAGAACTCGGCCAGTGGAAGGTAAGTATCCCAACTCCCTTTAAAATCCAACACACAAGCCCAGAGCATATCCTCGAGCATCTGAATCGTCCTCTCGCTCTGGCCATCGGTCTAAGGGTGGTATGTTGTACTAAAATGCAACTGGGTACCCAACTCCTCATGAAACTTCCTCCAAAATCTGGAGGTGAAACGAACATCCCTGTCCGAAACCACCGAAACTGGCACTCCGTGCCGAACTACTACCTCCTGAACATAGATGTCTGCTAACTTCTCTGTAGATATACTCTTGGTAATCGGTATGAAATGCACACTCTTGATCAATTTATCCACAATGACCCATATAGAGTCAACACCACAGGCCGTCCTTGGCAATTTTGTGATGAAATACATGGTAATTTCTTCCCATTTCCATATGGGAATGGGTAAAGGCTGAATCTTGTCGTGGGGTCTCTGATGTTCGGTCTTGACTTTCCTGCAAGGCAAGCACCGCTCCACAAACCAAGCTATTTCCCTTTTCATACAGTGCCACCAATAACTCAACCTCAGATCCTTGTACATCTTCGTGGCCCCTGGATGGATAGAAAACTTTGACCTATGCGCCTCCTCTAAAACAGTATGTCTCACCCCACCTGATGTCGGAACCCAGACTCTACCATACCGAGTCAACAACCCCCGACTATCTCTGACAAATAATGGAACTTGTTCTCTGATTCGCTCGGTCTTCCAGTTTTCCTTTTTTAATCCCTTTACCCGAGCCTTCTTGATCAAATCCATAAAAGGCGAAGTAACAATCATCCTCAAGCAGATATCTTAGATAGATGAATTCACGGTCTTGCTGCTCAAAGCATCAGCCACCATATTGGCCTTCCCGGGGTGGTACAGGATCTCGCAATCATAATCATTTACCACATCCAACCATCTCCGCTGTCGCATATTCAGATTCGGTCGGCCCATCAAATACCTCAAACTTTTTATGGTTAGTGTACCGAACCCCATACAAATAGTGTCTCCAAATCTTGAGAGCAAAAACAACGACCCCCAACTCCAAATCATGCGTAGGGAAGTTCGCCTCATGAGGTTTCAGCTGCCTCGAAGCGTAAGCAATCACACGACGCATCTGCATAAGATCACTCCCAAAACCCAAAATAGAGGCGTCATAATAAACCACAAAATCATCCAAACCCTCAGCGAGCGTGAGAATCGGGGCCTCACTCTGCCATTATCATTAATGCATTTTAACATATTTATTATCACATAGGGGATATGGAGATGGTGTATGGTGCAAGCTGGAAGGTTTCATAAGGTGAACGATATTCTAGAGTTCGCTGCCAGGTGGGGGTCGTGTCCAAAAAAAGGAGGATTTTTATGGCCATTTGTTACTGTGTGTTATGGTCTATTTGGAAAGCAAGGAATGATAGAGTTTTCAAGAAAATCCAGCTGCCACCCGATAAAGTCATAGATATTGTCAAATCTATGACCTTTCTTTGGGTGAAAAACAGGGGTAAAATGAAGGAGTTAACCTGGGCAAACTGGTCTTAATGTCATTTTCTTAATCTGTAACTTTAGTTTTTTTTTTTAAAAATTTTCGTTGTTTGTGGTTCTGTGTTTTGCCACTCGCTTATGTGGCTTGTATTGTCCTCCCCTGTTACTTCTCTTTTTTATATTAATTTATTGGTCGGTTCAAAAAAAATCTATACCATTAATTAGAGTGTTCTTTGCACTACACTATGTTGACATTCGTAACTATACCATTATCATTAATGCGTTTTAACATATTTATTATCTATATTTAATTATTTATGCTATAGTTTTCTCGTAGTCAACTATTTTTGTGTGAATTTGAAATTAGCGTTTACATAACTTATCTCGACCTTCAAGAATCCACTCTGTGAGGTGTCGATTCTTTCCATGGACGGAACATGGATGGAGGTCTGACGGAGGAAACCACCGGCGATTCAAGCAATCACTAACTTTTTTGTTGCAAGCTTCCCTGATGGCACAAGTAAAGGAGAACTCCGGCAGACTTTTGCAAGATATGGACAGGTGGTGGATGTTTACATCGGAGGAAGAAAGGACTATAAGAAGAAGAATTACTCATTTGTAAGATTCCATGGAGTAAGAGAGGTGAACAACTTGGAAAAGAACTTACAGGGCATCATTTCTCGTGGGCAGCAACTTGAGGTAAACTTGGCTAAACACCAAAGAAAAACTAAGGATCCAAAAAATCATACCTTCCATATGCAGACTACACCAATCTCAGGTATGTTCCTCCTCGTTCTTCCTCTGTCTTGCATTCTTGTGACTTTAGAACCAGAACTTATGCACAAGTAACGAAGGACTCAACAACACAATCAACTAAGTCACTAAGCACACCAGTTATCCTAAATCCAAAGACAAGCATGAAACATTGGATCCAGAAAACAGTCCTAATAGGTGGAGCCTTCAGCCTTGACCATATTGCTAACCTCCTGACTTCTCTACTTATGAACAAAAACACAAAGTACCTTGGTGGTCTCAGGATTGCCCTAAAGTTCAACCACTCAACTGATGCAACTCAATTCCTGGAGGATAACACTAGATGGAAAGATTGGTTCCAAAAATTATCAAGATCAGATCATTATGAACTTCCCTACGAAAGAACTGCTTGGTTAAAAATACTAGGACTACCTATTTAACTGTGGGAAGAAGAAAATTTCAATCTGATTGCTCAACAATTTGGTAGAGTGATCAATCCATTCAGCCATATCATCACCAAACGCGACTTCTCTATGGGAAAAGTAGGTGTATTAACGACCGAAAAGAGATGGATAAATGAGACGGTTAACATCATGGCAGATGGCATATCCTTCACAGTGGGTGTTGTAGAATACATCGATGACTGGTCTCCTTTCCATCCGGTCCCATTCGACAAAGTGGTGGAGGAATCGGAAGATGAAGCGGAGACAAAAAATGAAGATGACGAGGACAGGATCTCCGACACATACATGCAAGATGACGCCAACGAGCCATAGGAAGGCGAAATTAGGGCGTAAACCACCATGAAACACCAAGGCAACGATGGTGTTGAGTCTTCTTCTCCGGCAACTGGCGGCGTAGGCGCCAAGCAGGAAACTGAAGCGTCGCCGTTCACGAAAGAAAATCGTGACAGTGCAATTAATAGGAGCAATTCCCTTCTCGATGCAATGAATTTGAAGAACGCAAACGGTAAATCGACGGAAGAGGCGGTCAAAGTGAGCAACGTAAATGATAATAGGAACATCCTTGCGGCTGAACCTAATTATTCAACATCGGGAGAGCCAATTGTGGGACCTGCATCGCCTGGCACTAATATATTTGGGCCCATTCAAAACCTTATGTCTAGTGGCTGTTCCGGGCCTTTCCCTAATACAATACCAATTCAATTTTCATCCCTAGCAGCCTATATTGGTGACTCGGTATCTGGTAGTGAATCAAACACTAGTGGATCAAAACCCAGGAAACGCAAGAGAATTAAAACTAATACTCGTTCATCATCGCATCTTACTCACCCTATTCCATTACCTAATTTACCCATTCCCTTTCCTAATACACAACCAAACCGTCAAATTGATCTTAATGCAAATCAAACAGTTAATTTAACTACCCAATCGGAGACAAAAAGTAGTCTACCATCTAATCCGTGCGAATTTCAACAAGTTGTGGCAATTGGAACGAAGTTAGGTTTCATATTGACGATGATAATGGAATCATGGCACAAATTGTTGGTGAGTCAGGTGGACAAACTTGTGATCAATGAATTGATTATCATTAAATACAAGAAGCTTGGGGGTGGATGTTAAAACTCAATGGGTGCGTAGATTGAAACTTACTCACAAAATAAACTTCATGTGACTATAGGAAACACAAATGATGGACCACTCTAGCATTAACATTGATGGATGTTGGGATTCAACTGATCACGACTCAGAAGGAGTTAACTCAAATGGTAGATCGGGAGGACCGATATCAATCTGGGACACACATTGCTTTCAAAAGGCGGAGTTCATTAAATCTCAGTTCTTTCTAATTGTCATTGGTGATTGGGTTGGTGTTACATGAAACATAATCTTCGCTAACGTTTATGCTCCACAATCACCAACGGAGAAAAAAACAGTTTGGAGAGAATTAATTAGAATCAAATTATCCAAACCTGGCAATTGGATAATATTTGGCGATTTTAACATTGTAAGAAGAAAGGAAGAAAGATTCAATTCACAGTTCTGCCCTTCTAGTGCATCCGCTTTTAATTGTTTCATTTACGAGGCTGGCCTACAAGAGTTTAATATGGATGGGTAGAAATACACGTATATGGCACATGTAGATGCTAAATTAAGTAAATTAGAAAGGTTTCTAGTTTGCTCTAATTTTGTGTATGCATTCCCTGATATAACTGTGATGGCTCATCCTCATGAACTCTCTGACCATAGTCCTATCACGCTCAAACAATTGTCGTCAGATTTTGGCCCAACTCCATTCAAATTCTTCAACTCTTGGTTACTAATTGAAGGGATTGACCAAATGGTTATCGAAGCTTGGGGAAACTTCATGGGATACGACACATCAGATAAATACCTTGCAGCTAAACTACGATACATGAAGGAAGCAATAAAGAAATGGAGGATATTGAACCATCAAAAAGAGACGGATGAGTTACTCAAGTTAAAGAACAATGTTGCGACATTAGAGAAAGTTGCAGAACATCGTACACTATCTGACAACGAACTAATTAATAGAAGTCATGAGATTCATAGGATTCTAGAACTTGAAAAAATGAAGGCATTAGATTTGAAACAAAAAGCCAGAATCAAATGGACTATAGACGGAGATGAAAACACTAAGTTTTTTCATGGGTATATCAGTAGCAGAAATAGGATGAATAAAATAACAGGCATGTCAATCAATGGAAAGTGGACGTCAGACGTCAATGAAATAAAAAATGAAGCATATAAATTCTTCCAAGGCAAGTTCAAAGAAGAATGGGTGACACGTCCAAAATTAAACAGTCCTCACTTCAAATCGATCTCCATGATGGATGCCATCAGACTTGAATCACCAATCTCACCGGAAGAAGTTAAAAACGCAGTTTGGGCAAGTGGCAGTGACAAGGCTCTGGGACCAGATGGATTCACATTCAAGTTCATAAAGATATACTGGGATACAATCTGTGAAGATATAATAAGATTTTTTTGACATTTTGAGGATCACGACACCTTATCTCCGGGCTGTAACTCCTCATTCATCACGTTAGCATAAAAAACCAAGGATCCACTTACCCTTTCTGATTATCGTCCAATTAGTCTTATTGGGTGTTTATACAAAATCATCACCAAGATCTTAGCCACAAGATTAAAGAACGTTACTGGTGGGGTCATCGGAGAGGTTCAATCAGCTTATGTGGAAGGACAAAGCATTCTTGATGGACCATTAATTGTCAACGAGATCTGCTCTTGGGCAAATCGTACGAAAAAAATAATATTACTTTTCAAATTTAACTTCGATAAAGATTTGACTCATTAAACTGGGGATTTCTAGATTCAGTGCTTATTCAAATGGGATTTGGGAATAAATGGAGATCATGGATCTGTGGGTGGTTATCATCATCTCGAGCTTCAGTGATTGTCAATTAGGGGTGAGCATTTGGACCGAAACGGACCGGACCGACTCTTGGACCGGACCGTTTATGGATAATATTGTGGACCGTGGACCAGACCGGATGAGTCGTGTCCGTGTCCTTGTCCGGGTCCAGGTCTGGGTTTTCCGGTTCTTGGACCTGTTTGGACCGGTACAACTTTAATTGCATAGAGTACAAGTCGTTAAAATAAGTTTTTGTGTTTGATAGAACTCGTTAAAATGAATACGTTATTGGGTTTGATATGATACAACTTGTAAAAATGATTACATTTTCGTTTCATGCATAACTAATCTACCTTGATGTTATAATATTATAACTTACAAAATTAATTTTCAAAATAAAAGCAACTAACATATAAATCAAGTTCACCATGATCCCTTTTATATGATTTATCTGTCAAAAATACATAAAATTCATAATTATAGTCTAAAATAATAGTTAAAAAGTTGAAATATTTCAGCTTTGATAGCTCAACTTTGAAGGATTGTAACTCACTGAATATAATACCAAAATCAACAAAATTATAGTCTAATTTTATCTACAAACTATAAACTAAATGTTGGAAAAAACCGCAGGTCAATCCGAGTTAAAACGAATGAGTTATGGTTGTTTAAAAAATTTCACAGATTACAAAATTTTAAAAATCTTGCTGAAAAGCTGAAAATTTTCAGCTTTGATAGCTGAACTTTGAAAGATTGTAACTCACTGAATATAATACCAAAATCAACAAAATTATAGTCTAAATTCATCTACAAACTGTAAATTAAACGTTGGAAAAAACCTCATATCAATCCGACTTAAAACGACTGAATTATAGTTGTTTAAAAATTATCACGAATTACAAAATTTAAAAAACGTTGTTGAAAATCTGAAATTTTTCAGCTTTGATAGCTCAACTTTGAAAGACTGTAGCTCATTGAATATAATACCAAAATCAACAATATTATAGTCTAAATTCATCTACAAACTGTAAATTAAACGTTGGAAAAAATCGCGTGTCAATCCGACTTAAAACGAAAGAGTTATGGTTGCTTAAAGTTTACAAAAAAAAAAATTAAAATTGGGTCCAACCGGTTTTAAATCCGGTAAAAACCGGACCGGACCGGGAAAAAAACCGGACCGGTTTTGATGGATTCCTAGAACCGAGAAAAAACGGTCCGGTCCGGTCCGGTCCACCGGTCCAAATGCTCACCCCTATTGTCAATGGTTCACCCACCAAAGAATTTGACATAAGCAAAGGGGTATGACAGGGTGACCCTCTTTCTCCATTCCTCTTTATCATCGCAATGGAAGGTCTTAACATAGCTCTCAAAGCGACAATTGAAAAGGAATTTTCAAAGGAATTAAAATCCCTGAAAATGGACCATTGATCTCTAATTTATTCTACGCCGATGATGTATTTTTCATCAGAGAGTGGTCCCGATCCAATCTTAAAAACCTGGCTCGTATCCTGCGATGTTTTCACGTATCTTCAGGGCTCAAATACAATATCTTCAAATCCAAAGTCTTTGGTATTGGGGCTTCGAATGCTGAAACCTCAAACTGGGCCAACATCCTGCTTGCGAAGCTGGCTCCCTACCGTTCACTTACCTCGGAGTCCCGGTTGGAGCTAATATGAACTTGGTAAAAAATTGGAAACCAGTTATCGACAAGTTTCATTCTAAGCTCTCGTCATGGAAATCAAAAACTTTGTCGTTTGGGGGAAGATTAACACTAATCAAATCTGTCTTGGGCAATCTAGTTTCACTCTAAGCTCTCGTCATGGAAATCAAAAACTTTGTCATTTTGGGGAAGATTAACACTAATCAAACTGTCTTAGGCAATCTTCCAACATACTACCTTTCGATATTCAAAGCCCCAATGACAGTGATTGATGTAGAGGTGAGCATTTGGACCGGACCGTTTTTTTGGACCCCCGGGCCGGTTCTCGGTTCTAGGAATCCATCAAAACCGGTCCGGTTTTGTTCCCGGTCCGGTCTGGTTTTTACCGGGTTTAGAACCGGTTGGACCCGATTTAAATTTTTTTTTTTTGTAAATTTAAACAACCATAACTCATTCGTTTTAAGTCGGATTGACACGCGATTTTTTCCAACATTTAATTTACAGTTTGTAGATGAATTTAGACTATAATTTTGTTGATTTTGGTATTATATTCAATGAGTTACAGTCTTTCAAAGTTGAGCTATCAAAGCTGAAAAATTTCAGCTTTTCAGCAACGTTTTTAAAATTTTGTAATCTGTGAATATTTTTAAGGACTAATATTATAAAAGCCCTAAATTTTTAACCCGTAATTGGAAAAAGCCCTAATATTTTTTTTATTATTGCTATGGCCACAACTTTCTCGCAGAATTATCACTCTAGCCCATTTAACGAGTTTCATGGTTAACTGAGTTAATTTTTTTGCAAAATCAGTCCCAAAAGTTCAAATTTGGTCCCCGAGGTTTGCAAAAAATTACACCACATGATGTTTTAATATTAATTTTTGTTTTTAGTATACTTTATTTATTTTCGGTTTTTTTATAAATATATATACATTTTTTATTTTCGTTTTTGTATATACTTTATTTATTTTCATTTTTTAACTTTATTTTTCATCAATTTGATTTTTTTTTACCTTTTTACCTTTTTTTTTCTATTTTATAGTGTATATATAGAGTATATTAGAGTTTTTTTTTCATATTTCTTTTTGTATTATATTTTAATTTTTTCATCTTTTTTTTATTTTTTCTTATTTGTTTTCCAATTATTTGTTTTTATTTTTTTTGTATTTTTAACTTTTTATTGACATTTTTCAAAAAATATAAAATGTATTAATATATTAGATTATATTACAATTTATATAATTTATAGTTTTTGTAATTTTTTTTATTTTTATTCAAGTAAATAAATTTGTTATGTTTATATTTGTAATTTTGGTCCAACTTATTTTCTTTTTACTTTTTTTTTCTTTAGTGCTATTATATTTATGTTACGAAAAAATGAAAATTAAAAAAAAATAGCTTGTTTATTGAGAATTAGTGTTTCAATGTGTTATATAACTTGGAAATTAAATCATATTTTTATATGTGATATCAATAGTTTAAATTCAAGATAATATTTTTAAATTTGATAATAGACTAAAAGAAAAAATAATAATAATAATAATAATCGGTCTCTATAAAAAACTTG